GGGACGGTTTGTCTCGAATATCTCTGCCAAGCCAGGCGGAGTTTGATACCGACCACTTTCTACTTGTGTTGGACCTGCGCCAAGCTCCTGAAGCCTTCACCGCCGAGCCACCTCCAGCGCATGAGTCTGGACGTCCTGGTAGACTGCATGTGTCGCGTTTTCAAAGCATCGAGACTTGCCAGGCTTTCGCAGACATGTTTGCTGAGCTTCGGGAATCCCATGACGGATTCGCTGCTTTCATATACTAAGGATCTTCGCGCTGCAGGTGGGTTGAGTGTTGGTGAACTTCAACGTCAGACCGATGACTAGCGTGTTGGACGGAGTCCCGCGTTGCTGTGCGGGCGTGGAAAAACGCTTGGTGGCAGGTTCGTTTGGAAAGGTTAGAGGCCGCTGCTCGGGCCAAAGATTCAGCCCGCACGTTTGGTGAGGCCCAGCAGATGTCTCGCTTGCTTCGTCCCAACGGTTTGACTAGTGCTCCCATATATGCTCAGCCAACGGTGGAAACGTCTCAGAGGGCTCAGCACTTTCGGTCTGTTTTGAACGTGCCACGCACCTTTGCACCTGGAGTTTTGGATGAGTTGCCTGATTTGTCAGCCGAGACCTCGTCTATCGACTGGTCGCCCCCTTCATGGGCAGCCTTCTTGCAGGCAGTGCAGAGACTCAAAAGTGGAAAAGCTGCGGACAGTTTAGGCTCTGGTCAAGGTCAAGGACACGATTTCTGGACAGCAAGCGTTGCAGAGCTCCACACTATGTTGTGCAACTTTTGGAATGGTCATCGAGGCGGCACAAATTGAGCATTGGCATGACTCCAGTTTGTTCGTAATATATAAAGGTAAGGGTTGCTACAACGATTTTTTAATCACCGAGGGGTAGTTCTTCTTGTGACATCATTTCGAAGCTTTGCTGTAAGCTCATCCAGTCTAGATTGGCTGAGCTCGCGGAAAGAGTGTGTTGCGAAAATGAGCTCGGATTGAGCAAGGGTCGTGGCTGCACCGACGGCACCTTCATGCTTCGTAGATTAATTGAAGAATGGACTCACAGTAGGCGAGAGGGAAGCTTCTAACTTGTTTGTCTTGTTCCTGGACCTCTCTAAGGCCTTCGACGGGGTGCCACGGTCATCCCTTTTTACCTTGTTGCAATCCAAACTTGGGGTCCCGGCCCATGTGATCCAAATGTTGCGGACCATCTACGACAATATGTCAACCCGAGTGTGTGGCCCTGCGGGCTTGCTGAGTGAGCCAATCCCAATGGCCACTGGGGTCCGCCAAGGCAGCATAGAGGGTCCTTTGCTGTTTTTGGTGTACTACACTTTTGTTGTTCGTTTATGGCAGCAGCGCAGCTCTCACCGTTTGCAACACCCTTTTGGTGTCCAATGGGTTTCCTCTGAGGATGGCACTATACGTGAACCTGGCAAAGTGAAGCGGATGGCGACACGTCTGCATCGAGTGACTGAATCGGCTTTTGCTCGACTGGGATGAGTTTCAGGTCTTGGCTGCCGAAATGGCTACGTGTTTGAGGGATCTTGGCTGTGATTTGAAGCTTCTTAAAGCAGAATGGCTTGAGGTCCCTAGTTTCTCTTCTAGCCGCATCCATTTTCGTGGTCGTGCTCATGGTGCATTACATGCCATGGGTTGGATCGTGGGCCTGGCAGGCTCAAAACAGACATGAGTGGGAGCGCTTGGTGTGCGGTGTCCAGTTGCCTCCATTAGGCCGAAATGCTGACGACCGTGGTACTACAGCTAGTGCAAGGGCTGCCCCTCGGCCCATGCCAGCTGATTGCCGTTGCACTTTGTGTCCTTTTGTTGGCAAAAACAAGCAAGGTCTTAGCCGTCATATTAACAACAAACATCCTGTTTCTAAACCTACTTGGTCTTGCGCGGAGTGTGGCCGGGATTTTCAATCCAAGTCCACTTTGACTAAGCACAGGTGCGAAGCTCGACCGGCTGCCCCGGCAGCCGCTGCTAGGAACTTTCCCTGTAGTCATCCAACCTGCACTGCCTCGTTCCTTTCGGTGTCGCAGAAAAACAGGCATGAGCGTGAACAGTGTTTGGCTAGACCTGGTTCGGGTGCAGTCAGACAAGCAGATGGCAGATTGGCCTTGTTTTGTTCATGTGGCGTTGACACTCCTTTTTACAGCCAACGAGCCCTGGCCGTTCACGGCGGTCGTACTGCACACTAGTTTCTGTGGTTCTTTTCTTGTTCTGCTGTTCATTCTTGCTGCTGGGTAGCCGTGCATGCGAGGAAGGGCTCGTGTGCGAGTCTCTGAGTTATGTGTTCAGTGACAGCTATTTTGTTTGCTCCGCTTTTTTTGGCCAACTTGTTGTCGCCTCAATGGCCGTGGCTGACCTCAAGAAGCGCTTGGACACTCTCGAGCGTTCCCACAAGCTCATTGCTCAACTTGCGTTGGCCACAAACAATTAAGGATGTTCGCCGAGAAAAGATTCGCCATGAACTCATCGTGCACCTTCGTGGGCCCGCTGTTGGTGAAGTGCAGCAGCTTTTTGATGACCATGTTAAGTCCAAAGAATCTGTTTCAAATGAGCGTGCCAAGAAGTCTCGCAATTCTGCGGGTGATGCCCCGGCGGCATGTGCTCTGGCTGACGCAGCAGCCCGGAATACCTAAGAAGAGGCTGGACGTGCCCAGATGGCTGTGGCAGCGGCTAGCAAGCTCCACTCCTTGGATGGGCAGATTGTTCTTCATTCCTGTCGTTTTCACAGCCGTGAACCATTGGAGTTAGAGGCTATCAAAAAGGTTTGGCACCTCAGTTTGGATGTCACTTTCTCTGGCGATGGGGTTTTGGCCATGCAGCTTTTGTCATACGACCTCGAGCCGCCAGGACGTCACTTTCCACAAGGCTTCCTCGCAGAAAGTTTTGGACCTCTGTGAAGATTCTCGACCTCGGCGACCCTGATGTTTTTGATGTGGTGGTGCAATGTGTGCAGTGCTTTGGGCAGCTCCCGGTTTCTTTCGCTGAACTGAACTTTTTGATGCTGGATCACTTTGCTCTTCTATTTCCCGGACTTCTTGGGGGATGGTCCTGGTCATGGCTATGGTTTGGTGTCCAGCGGCTTTTTCCTTGCCATTTTGGCCGTGGTGTACAACAGAGCTTATCATCGTCGTCGGAGGGAAGATGGAGGGGAGTGAGACAGGAGGTGCATGGGTGGGGACGGGGCTAGGGAGAGAAGATGGAGGGGAATGGGGACGGGGCTGGGAAGGGAAGATGGAGGGGAGCGAGACGACAAGACAGGAGGGTGAGGAGGGGGCTGGGAGGGAAGATGGAGGGGAGACGGGTGTGGGTGGGGACGGGGGCTGGGGATGGGGCTGGGGATGGAAGATGGAGGGGCTGAGGAGGGGGGAGCGAGACGGGAGGCGCATGGGTGGGAGGGGAGCGAGACGGGAGCTGGGGAGGGAAGATGGATGGGAGCGAGACGGGTGGGGGGAGGGAAGATGGAGGGGAGCGAGACGGGAGGTGCATTGTGCATGGCATGGGTGTGGACAGTTGCGCGGCTGATATGCTAGTTCCGAGGACATGGTTGCACTGCTGCGGGTCAGTGCACAAGTAGAACGAAGCCACGAAGCATGGGTGGGGGGTAGTGCTGCTCCATGCTTCGCGGAAGCATGTTGGGAGGTGAGTGGAGCTGTGTTGCGGGGCTTATACGATGGTGTTGGGTGTCCAAAATGTGCGCAATGCATGCGGCAGACAGTGAAGTCGTGGCCGAAACGGCAGGACTGTTGCGTCGAGCACATGGTTGCACCGCAAGCATCATTGCAGGCTGCTCCGGGTGCACAAGTGGAACGAAGCATGGGTGGGGGTAGTGCTGCTGCATGCTTCGCGGAAGCCCGTTGAGGTGAGTGGAGCTGTGTTGCGGGGCTGATACGATGGTGTTGGGTGTCCAAAATGTGCACAATGCATGCGCCAGACAGTCAAGTCATGGCCGACGCCCTGATCATGCCAACGTCGATGCACGCAACCGGAAATCTATGCCAAAAAATTAAACAGAAATGTCATTTGCATTTGCCACGAAGCCTGGAGGGGGCTGATGCTTCGTTTTGGCCTGCTAATGTGTGTTTGTTTATTTTTCCCGGGCTGCGCGCTTCTTTTCGCTTTTGGGTCCGCGGGCTCACCTTGTTTTAAATAGTTCCCACTACCGTCCACCACCCCTACCATTTCCAATACCTCTATCACTCGGACCACCCCGCTACGAGTCTTACCACAGTTACCGCAACTACTATTTTCTTTGCGTTGACGCTACCACAAAGGTGGATTTCTACTTTGCTTAGCCCAAAGAAACCCGAAACCACTGAAACCCAAAGACAACCGCAGAAAAGTCCCTATTATAGTTCCTCTCTCCTCCTATTTCTTCTTCGTTAAGTGGGATGCCTTTTCCGGAAGAACGCCTAAAGAAACCCTAAAGACAAGAAACCGAACCCAAAGAAACCCGAAACCAGTGAAGCTAAAGACAACCGCAAAGAAGTCCCTAGTAAGTGGAATGCCTTTTCTGTTCCCTCCCTTTGTCACTGTCACGCTGGCTTTGGTGCTTCGTCCCGTGCCCTTTCTGCTGCCCCTAGTGCTTGTAAAGCACTCCCAGCAGAAGCAAAAGCAAAAACAGTAAGGGAAAAAACGTGAAAACAATTTCCGGAAAAAAAACTGAAAACATTGACGGAAAACATATCCATCCTTTTTATAGGCTTCTTAATGCAATTAGGCTTGGACGAGGTTTCCAAGCTGAATTTATCGGCCTTCCGGACCTTCCAGCTGTCACCCGCAAACCGGGGGAACAAGTGAATGGAGTCATCATGCATGAGTACACGCAGTGCACAAGCAGGGCCCGCCCAGCCCAGAGGGGGAAATGGGCACTGCCCGTTTGCCTTCTTACAGTCCGAGGCGGCATTTTCATTTTGTCGATTACAACAATGCCTTTGGTTTTTTCATGTTATTTCCTTCAGAGTGTGCGCGTGTTGGTCACTAACGGCACTCAGTTGTTCACACAAATTCCGCAGTTTGGCTTTCAGGTTTTGTTTTTTTTGCGTGCTGCGTCGCCATTTGGAAGCGACAGGGCACAATCAAAGTAACTGGGCGCATTCATGGTAGCACTGTTGTTGGTTTGCGTCACCAGATGTCGGATGTCCTTGACTTTCTTTTGCTGTTGTTGACGTAGGTTGGCGAGCATGTGGTTTCGCTATGCTGTGTTGGCAGTTGGGAGCTTGATGCGCAGATATGGCCAATGTTAAGGGTACTCCACATAGCCACGCTGAGGCCATATTACGGATCTCGCCGGGGTCTTGGCAATTGAAGGCGGTTTGCCCTTTTTCTCTGCTGTTCGATGGTTGTTGGTGCTTGACGCATGGGCATGTAAAACTTACATTTTGACCATGATGAGAGGGTTAGTCCAATTTCCGAAAAAAAGAAGGGTGTGGCCGTTCAAGTGGTATATAAACTTAACTGATGCACTGTCAACGAAGTGTTGGTACATTTTTCGAAGTGGAGCAAATCCTACCAACCCAGTCGTGAGTCGCTCAGTGTCGGAAGTTGTGCCGTCCACAGCGTGATGTTGCAGCCCGCCAAAGTCAAGGTTCAAAGCAATACAAAAATCATGAATGTGACCAAAAACAATTTCAATGAAGCTGCTGCTGAAATTGAGCGGCTGTTGCCCTCAGTTGACTTCGTGGCAATTGATGAGGAGATGACTGGCATTTCGCTGCCCGGACTGGAGGAAAAGATTGCAGACCTTCCTTCCGCACGGTTCGCCAAGATGAGGAAGGGCTTTGCAGTTTTGAAGTTAGGTTTAGGACCGAAAATGATTGAATTGATTGACCCATTCCCCACCCCAACACCGTCCTAGCAAAAGTGCATAAAATTCATTTAGTGGTTGGGGGAGCATTTCCGTGCAGGAAGGTTGCATCCAACTTCAATATTATCCAGTTTGGCGTCGCGCTTTTCTGCAAAGAACCAGGTCGCAGGAAGTATGTGGCTCATGCTTTCAACTTTTATGCCTTCCCTGAAAAGGGGCTGGTCAATATGGAAGCAGGGTCAGTTCACTTCAATTCAAGGAATGGGATGGACTGGAACCGGTGGATCTTGGGTGGAATCCCTTACTTGGATCAGGACTCTGCTGAGAGTCTGAAACAGTTTTTCGCTCCACCTGTCAAGGAGAGTGAGGGCGAGAAACCGCCATCCAAGCCACGCATAGTCTTGTCAAATGAGAATGATATTGAAAAGACACGGGTAGCAATCGCGGCTTTGCAAACATGGCTGGCAGATGAAGAGAAGAAGGGGGAGAAGGAGTTTGAACTCTTGACCACAAACGCATTCCTGCGGCGTTTCATGTATGAAACTATTCAAGAAAGCTTCCCAGGCTTGATCTTGGAAAGTCGGCCAACAAAGTCGCGAGGCCTATCCACACTTGTTGCGCTCAGACTGACCGATGTTGAAAAGTTGGAACGGGAAGCGCAGAAACAAAAGGAAAAGGAAGAGGAATTTCAAAACAAACTTGGATTGAGGCGAGTATTTCTGGCTTTGGCATCTGCAAAGAAACCATTGGTGGGGCATGCCTTGATGTTTGATTTGCTCTTTGCTCTCTCGCACTTTGAGAAACTACCCGAAAACTATGAGGAATTCAAAGAGCTATCTCACACGTTGTTCCCAACTGTTTTTGATACACAGCTTTTGGCGAAGAGCAATCTGTTCCGGATGAAGCCTACAAGGACGGCACTTGAGCCGAAGGATGGCGAGCCCTTGGAGCAAGTCGGTCCGCGGTTTTCAAGTTTTGCACTTGGCCAAGTTTACAAAGTCTTGAAAGAAGAGGAAGGCCGAGTCCAAAGTGAGTTGCCACCCATTGAAATCGCATTGGTGGAAGGCCACGAAAGGTACAACAAAGTGGCCAGCTTTCATGAAGCTGGGTACGATGCTTTCATTACGGGCTGTGTTTTTGCATATATGTGCGAAGAGTTGGCAAGGCAGCCAGATGAGTTCAATGGTCATTTGGTCATGTTCCGGAGCTTTTACAACTTCAATTTGAAGGGTGAGGACGAGTTGATCTCCAAGGGAGCTTATTTGCACATACAGGGGCTGAAGGGCTTAGGCGTGCAGGAGCTCCAAGAATCTCTTGGAATGGTTTTGACGCTTTGTTGGCACTGCACCGAACGGGCCCACTTAAGGTCTAAGGATGAGAGACTGTGCAGTTTGTGTTTTGGCAGCTTAGATGCTATGCCTGAAATGTACCGACACGACATGGCAACAAGGTTCGGAAGAATTTGATGCAAGTGCACCTTCAGCGTAAAATCCACCTGAATCCATATAAGAACACATAAAGGCATAGGAATTGATGGGTAAAAACCAGCAGCAACATGACTGAGGAAGGACGTGCAGAGCAAGCGCAGTGAGTGCTTGCAGCTCTCCACAGAATTTGAAGTGAAATGGATTGACGATGACAGCGCCTTTGCAATTTTTTGGGAGACTTCGCGGCCACTGATTGATGCTATTTGTGAAGAGGTTGGAGCATCTGATGTGGAGTTTTGAAGTTTGATTTCAAGGTCAGATAGTCTTAGATAGCAGATAGCGAGCTTAATTGTGCCCGCAGGCTGGAGCCCAGAGCCTGAAGTTTACGGCCGGAGACCAGTGGTTTGCTTCTCAAGCTCCAGATGCGGACCTTCCGCCATCCAAACGGGCGCGTGTGGCATAGGGAACATGGCATGAATGGAAGCAACGTTCGAAGCTGCAAGAGGACCAGGATGAAGCAAGCAAGGCGAACTAGTTTGCTTCTGACTTCTGAGGGCTGTGTCCAATTGGACGCTGCACGCGGGCGGTGAACACTTTGAGCAGCTGCATGACGGGACACATGAAAGACCAATGACACTGATGCAACTATGTCAATATCTCAACCTCGAAGAGAACTAATCTATGCATTCTTTGGGCTGGCTGAGGCTCCAATGTGCCAATATGCCTGGCAACAGCCCGTGTGGCTGTGCTCAGTTTAGACGCGAAAGGGAACCCATCAGAGCGCCGGTGATCTCGTGACATAGCATGGGGGCATTTGGCTCCACATCAGGTGGCATGGCAGTCATTAAGGCCATGACCCATGACTTTGTTCGAAGCTCAGCTGTCCGAGTACGACTCTTCCTTTTTGAAGGTGTTGCAGTGCAGGTTTGCGATTGTTTTAGGTATTGCATCCAGACCAATTCGTGGGCTTGACCATTCAATCCAGCTACACCGATTTCCAGGCCAAATTGGTTAACTAAATTTTAACTGAGCAAATGGAATGCGCAGTTGTCTAACACCTGGAAGTGGCACAGGCATATTTCCACAATGCGCAGATGCACACGTGCCCCCGGCCCTGTCTTCCAATGGTTCGATGCCCAGGGCTTTCAGTGAACAAACCCGATGTGTTAGCTCGTCGCCACGCTCGCGTGCCTTGGCACCGAGGAGCAAGCTTGTGTTCCCTACAGTCCAAGCTTTCCAGGCAAACCAGAAACATTGTAGATCCCAGAGGCCACTTCTTATTGCCCCTTGCTTTCCTGTCACTTGTGCGAGGCATGTCTCAAATTAACGCCCTGCGCCTCCAGAGGGTGTCTCAGCTGCACAATGGTCAATAATCACGATGAATGATGAGAATGGCAGGTGGACCACCCAGACTGGTACCCAGAGCTGTCATCCAAATCAACAGATCAAGACTTTGCAAAAGTACTATACCAGCCCTGACCTCAAGCAGGCAGCTTTGCATCAGCTTTGCTCCGGCCTTGTTCTTCGCATTTGGATTTGAGGCGTGGCACACCAGGTGTTCCTCGTGTTTGTGAGGCTGGAGCAAGAGTAAGTGTGCAAGCACACTGTGTCACTCCACTTTGCTGAGGCAGATGAGGCGGCAGGACACTTTGTTGACATGGAAGAGGCAGTCAGTTCTTTGTATATTAGTATATTGTGCTAGATGGGATTTCAATTTTTGTGGTGATGGTTAGTATCGAGCCCTCCATTTGATGAGGAATCGGCTTTGCAGGCCATGTCGCAGGAAGCGCAATTGGAGAAAGATAAAGTGCAGTCAGCTCTGGAGGCCATGAGGGCAGCCATGCAAACGTTGCAGCAAGTGGCCAGAGCAATTTGAGACTGCACGTTTGCATGTTGTTTGCAGGAAGTAATGGCAGCACAACAACGGGAGCATGTTCGAAGCGCCATCAAAGCGGACTACCCAGCTTCATTGGCGGTTATATAGTGAGATGTTTGACATATTAGTGACATTTCAAAAACATCAGTCGTGTTCTTCGGGTCTTGGCATTCGCCCCTTTGCGGCAGGGAGTGTCAGTTGTTTCCTCAGCTGGTGGTGACGGCGATGGGTGGATTGAAGACGGGAGCGCTGCTGAGGAGGAACGCCGCCGGCACACGATCGAAGCATGAAAGGCTTACTCTGAAGACTGAGCTTTGTCTCGAAAAGAGATTGGACTCAAACAGGGCCAAAGAATTGGCCGCTTCACCCTGAATGAAGAATGGTGGTTGGTAGGTACCAGCGGTACCAGGTACAGTATATAGTGAATTGAGTTGCAAATCCTACCAGCAACAATTTTGCATCGTTTTAAGCAGCTGTGAATTGAAGGATGGCTCTGAACAGCTTCCAGATGAAGTGGATGCCGCAGCGGCTGAGGCAGGAAGCGCCAACCTCCGAATTTCACGTGGTCAAGAATATGAACGCAAAAGCATGCAAAAGATAAACATACTAGGAGCTAAAAGCGCTACTAGGGGCTCCTGGCCTTACTACTAGGAGCAAGGACGCTACTAGGGGCTCCTGGCATCGCTACTAGGAGCAAGGACGCTACTACTACGACGCTAACATACAAGCTAAGAAGCTAGAAACAATTGCGATGCCAACCAAAACAACAGGAGAGTTCGTGGGTGGATGACCCCAGCCAGGCAGGGATTAGATGGGCGAATCTAGCCCCATATGAGGGTTTAGCAGAGCAGCTTGCCCTGCTTTTGCGTTGATTCTTAGGTATGGGGTTTTGTGAAGTATGATTGTTTGTCGTTTGTACATTGCGTCTTGTTCAGACATCAGACATCAGAGAGAGGGACTTGCATTTTTTGTTTGTCCAGGACGAGGTGGTTTCAGTTCCAGAGCTTCCAGAAGCCAAGGCTGTCATGACTGGAGATGGCAAGGATGTCAAGGCTGTCCACACGAATGCCGGGTGATTTGGTCATGGGGAGAAAGGGTGAGACAGAGAGAGAGAAAGAGAGAGAGAGAGAGAGGGGAGGGGAGGGATGGGGAGGGGAGGGGAGGGAGGAAGGACGGAATTGCACGCCTGTTTGGGGTCGCATCGCGCAAATCTTTTTGTGCTTGAACTTGTAATGCAAATGAACAAGCCCCTCTGTACTGTAGACAGTATTGCCAGCACTGTGCACCTTTTGCACTTCTCAACCGTACTCTTACCTGCACTTCTTGTTTTTGCTTGTTAGCGGCAGTCCGATGCGATCACAGTGTTATACACAGAAGTCGTTGGGACTCGATCAGGTTGATGTGAGCAAGGACAAGGATGAAGCCAGCAAAGAAGAGAGAAAACCTGAGGACCTTTGCAAAATGCAATTCTTACAATCTTGCAGAGATGGGAAGACATCGGAATTGCAGTGCTGTAAGGAGGAGCCTGCAGAAGCAAAACCAGAACATTCAGAGGCATGGTCCTGTTTGTTAGGAAATCTTCTTCCAAGACAAATGTTCGGATTTTGGGAAGGGTGGGAAGGCTTACACACTGCTCTCACTGGCAGAGCCGGGGGGAACGTTTGGGAATCAGGGCATTCAACAATCTTGTGCGGGTGGGAGGAGCGCACGGAAGCAGAGCCGGAGGTACGGTCCTGGAAGTTAGTCAGCTCCTCCATCATTGAGGTTTCCATCGATGGAAGATCCCAAACCCCCACCTCTTACTAGTAATTCTAATTAAATTCTTATTGTTACTACTAGTAAGGCACCTGTTACTACTAGCGATGCACCTGTTACTAGATGCATCATGTCGCTTTGGAAGACTCAGGCTCATGCCAGCAAGAACAAGGGCAGCGCAGAGAGCACACCGAAGGACAGCTGTGAAATGGAACAAGCTTGGGGATTCAAATCACAGCCTTGCGCTTCAGAGGAATCTTCAGAAGAAAAGCCAACGGAGGCAGATAATGCCTTCCGCAAATATGTTTAGGAGGACAGGGTAGGGCCTACAGCACACTGTGGCCAGGCTGATGTCAACAAGGACAAAATAGAAGAAGCCAGCGAAGAAGATAGCAAACCAGAGGACACTTGCGAAACAAGATGAGCCTAAATGTGACTTGCAAATCCCGCTGCGGAGAGGAGCCGGCAGAAGCAAAGCCAGAGCATGCAGAGGCATGATCCTACGTGTTTGTTTGTCGTCTTCAACGACTAAGTTTGGGATATGGCGGGGGGCCTTAAAAATCAGGAGCACTTTGGCCAGGCTGATGTCAACAAGGGCAAGATAGAAGAAGCCAGCGAAGAAGAGAGCAAGCCAGAGGACACCTGCGAAACAAGATGAGCCTAAATGCGACTTGCAAATCCCGCTGCGGAGAGGAGCCGGCAGAAGCAAAACCAGAGCATGCAGAGGCATGATCCTAGGTGTTTGTTTGTGGTCTTCAATGACTAAGTTTTGGATATGGCGGGGGGCCTTAAAAATCAGGAGCACTTTGGCCAGGCAGATGTCAACAAGGGCAAGATAGAAGAAGCCAGCGAAGAAGAGAGCAAGCCAGAGGACACTTGCAAAACAAGATGAGCCTAAATGTGACTTGCCAATCACGCTGTGGAGAGGAGCCGGCAGAAGCAAAACCAGAGCATAGAGAGGCATGATCCTAGGTGTTTGTTTGCGGTCTTCAAAGACTATGCGTGGGATATGGCTGGGGGCTTTGGCCAGGCTGATGTCAGCAAGGACAAGGTAGAAGCTAGCGAAGAAGAGAGAAAGCCAGAGGACACTTGAACATCAAGATGACCCTTAATCTGACTTGCGGGAATAGAGGAGCTTGGGAGCAGCAGCATGAACAATTGTGCTCCGTGCAGGAACCCACAGAAGCAAAACCAGAGCATACAGAGGCAAGATCCTGACTGCTCGTTGGTGCTCTTCAAAGATTCATTTCAAGACCGACTGAAAGTCTTGTCATGCCATTTGCCGTTGGGGCCTAGAAACACTGTGGCCAGGCTGCCAGCAAGGACAAGGCAGGAGCCAGCAAAGGAGAGAGCAAACCAGAGGACCGGCGTGGTGGTGGGAGTCGCCCCGAATTAGAGTCTTTTTGGAGGTTTTTGTCAAAGTGGACGGGGGAAGTGGGATGTCGGTTATGTAAAAGTAAAGGACAGGACGCATTCTTTGCATCATCAAAACTGGTCATGATTTATGGCAGGGATCAAGTAGTGAAAACTGATGATCAGGAAGCAAGCGCAAATTGTTGTGATTGATCTTGAAAAAGCTTGGAATGGGTAGCTGGGAACTGTTCCGAAAGAATGCAAGTAGCCGATGCTGCGCACATAAGTGGAGCTACACAATGGAATACGTCGGGTCACCATGCTGTCGGGCTCCAAAAAGTTTTTGGGGTCTAAACAGCAGGCTCCCAACCACTTCAGTGATCCAACCACTGTTGGTTTCTTTGTTTTCAAGATGCGAATGCAACCATGTGGAACTGAGCACAAAGTGTGCACGCACACGTAGATAAAACACACACACACACACACACTCATGGATATGCGTATTGATGTGATAGCGGTGCCACACGCCAGCCTAAGAAACCCAAATCCTGAAAAACCAGGTGAGGTCCATCAGCTCCAAAAGAAAAACGCCGAGCAAACGAACGACAAGGTGACGACGTGCGTGCAAAAGGCCAAAAACGTCGCCACTGAAGGAAACAACGAAGTAGACAGCTTGTGCTCTACGTAGGTTTCTCTTCAAGCAGGTACGTCAATCCGGCGTCCCGGAGTGATTTCACCAGCACACATCCAGTGTCTTCGTTGGTGCAAGACTGGATGGGCTGCTTGCACCCCCTGCTACGAAAAACTAAACAAATCCAGAAGGATCCCTATGACTCCAAGGGTTACACACACACGCCTCCCCGAAGGGAGGCATGTGACCTCCATCCTGCCCGGAAAGGAGGTAGGCACATGTGCACGCAAAAGGGACAGATGAAAATGAAAAGGACAAGACAGACAAAGGTGTGTGTAATTGCCGATGAAAAGGAACCACGTGAAGAGGGACAACCGGTGAGCCAAACCTCATTGAAACGAACCTGGGCCACCTAAACCTCGTTGTAAGTAGAGTACGCGTGCGTGTATGTGTGCAAACTAAGGTCCGGACGATTGTGCGCGCAAGAGAAAGAAAGGATGAGGATGAAGAGGCATGAAGACAGAAGGACATGAAAGGAAAGAAGGAAAAACCGTCTGTGGGGGCGGATGAAAGGGGGACCAAATGAAAGGGGGCAAACCGATGACAGCCCAAACCTCATTGAGAAACCTGTTGCAAAAGCCTAGTTTGCTTGTAAATACGCCACGCATGAGGAAAGAGGGGGGAGGGGAGGGGGAAAAGAGAAGGAGGGAGAGAAGGAAGCAAAGGTGTTCCCAGCTACGGCGCAAGCGTCCAAGGACACACCAAAAAGGAAGGGCTCCCAGCTATGACGAAAGCATCCAGGGACGCCCAAGGAAGAGGGAAAAGAGAGGAAAAAGATAAGGAAAGAAAGAGAGAGGGAGAGAAAGGGAGAGGAGAGAAAGGAAGGTGTTCCCAGCTACGAACAATCGTCCAGGGACACACCAAAGAAGGAAAGGGGAGATCCTGAGTATTACATTCAGGAAAACCCCAGAAAGCAAGGAAAGAAAGGGGGGAGGGCAGGGGGAGAAGGGGGCTAAGTTCTCCACAGGTTCCAATGAACCCAACCCTGGCTTTGACCGCTCTGGTCACCTTGTGCCTTGCCGAAACGGCTGGCTGCTTTGACCGCTGCGGTCACGTAAAGGCATAAGCCAACTTAGAATTCCAAAGATGAGACAAAGATCATCGTACGTACGGCCTAGGCCACCTTCGCCCGCTCTGGGCATCTACATCTCCGGGCAGGGGAGATAACGACGTACACCCGTTCGACGGGTCCACGGGAGGCACTCTGCGGGCTCATCCCGGGTTGGCACGTAGCCAAACACACTCATGGATATGCGTACTGATGTGATAGCGGTGCCACACGCCAGCCTAAGAAACCCAAATCCTGAAAAACCAGGTGAGGTCCATCAGCTCCAAAAGAAAAACGCCGAGCGAACGAACGACAAGGTGACGACGTGCGTGCAAAAGGCCAAAAACGTCGCCACTGAAGGAAACAACGAAGTAGACAGCTTGTGCTCTACGTAGGTTTCTCTTCAAGCAGGTACGTCAATCCGGCGTCCCGGATTGATTTCACCAGCACACATCCAGTGTCTTCGTTGGTGCAAGACTGGATGGGCTGCTTGCACCCCCTGCTATGAAAAACTAAACAAATCCAGAAGGATCCCTATGACTCCAAGGGTTACACACACACACACTGATTATGGGTTGTGATTTGCAAAATGCCTTGATTTGGTCTCAATTGTGCCTTTGTGAGGGGTCCACAGAGGCGACTTTAAGTCCTTACCCGCCTTGGTACAACACCTTCCTCCAGTGTCAAGCGGTGAAAAGTTGCCCCGTAGCCGCAGGTATGAGATTTGACTTGATCGCACGATCCTTTGAAGCCCAAGGTTTTATCAGAAGGTACTCATTTACATCTACAAGGGGTTTCCTGCAAACCCCATTTCAATTCCACATTGGCCGCGGAGCAGTATACTTTCAATAGAAGCCGCGTGGAGGAGCCCACAGAAGCACTTCCAGAGCAGACCGAGGCACGATCCTGACTAATTACTATTTGTTGGCGCTCTTCCAACGCTAGGTGTAGGACTTGTGCAAGAAGACTTGGACGACCTTATTTCTTGGGTCACTGAAGCCAGGCTGACGTCGAAGACAGGTCCGAAAGCAAACCTAAGCATTCCGAGGACAGTTATAGAAGTTACACACATATATGTATAGGTGCTGGAGTTTCCTTTGGCCCTTTGGGTGCTTTACTCCTATACTGCCCATGTCAATTTGGACGTCAGCAACAGCAACAACCCTGAGAGAAGCTCTAAGGAGATCGCTTCATGCCGAACGTTCGTGTGCACTGTGACTCATCGCAGTGTGCACTGACTAGACGACTGATTCATCTCCGCTGAGTATGGTTCTAGGCTTCAATCCTTGTTTTAGCAATTTAAACCATTGTCATGAGATGTGGATGTGACTTTCCTTTGAGCCACGACTCCAGGAAAAGATTGATACCGAGTCCTTGCAGGGTGCTGGTACCGAGTCCGAGGATGCCGAACACTTGCATGGGGGTGGGTGGACTAGTGGACTACGCTGCGCCGGTTTCTAGCTTAAGTTTTCCTAGAAATCTAGGAGCCAAATGATTAGTGCCAGCGCTTCTTCAAGGAAGCTTCCCCCGGCCCTGCAATCCTGCATCCAGTTACTAGAAGCTAACTAGTAGCTAGTAGCTTCCTCCCTTACTTAATTAAGTAGGCTCCTACTTAAATCTGGAGCGGGCTTAAAAAAGCTTTTGCTGTTATTCTGCTACGAGCGGAGCCCTTCAAGGCATGGAGGGATGGACTTGGTACAGCTAAATCCAGGTTGGGTGCTTTTTGTGCACCGGTACCCTGTCTCGAGTTTTGCGTGCGCTCCTTTTGCTTGTGTTTGTTTGTTTCTTGCTGCCCTTGTTTGTGCCGGAGTCTGTGCCTGAGAAGCGTTCCGTCTTCAAAGTTGATGGAGAGAACTACTCTCTCTTCAACAGACTCTCAACAATGCTCCTCATCAGTTGTAGAGCTCAAGTTTGGCCACCTTGCAGCATAGCTGCAGTGCAATCTGCAGTGCAATGTGAACCCTGAAACCGGCAGGATGGCTTGGAATGGTCAGACACCGTGCCCGGAGATGCTGAAAGTGGGCAGGCGGCTTGAGAGATTTGAATGTGAAAGTTTTATTTGCAAAAAGTATATAGTCATAGTCCATTTTTGGTCCTTGTGCAGTGACATCGGAGTGATTATATTGCTGTTCTGTGATTGAGAGAAGGGCGATGGTGGATGGCAAACATCCTGGTCTGATGACGCAAGCGAGGACTTGTATGTGTCTTTCTGACATAAACAGACAGGTTTGCCCGATGTTTCTTCTGAGGAGGAGCTGCCGCATGAGTCCTGGGATTCTAACACCGAAGATGGCGGCAACGGCTTTGAGGTGAGAATTTTGCTGTTCAACGGCTCCTGTCAGTGCCCAGAAACTTCAGAACGTGCGAAAAAGACTGTGGCTAGGAGCCTGTCAGCCATGGGCACCCTGATTGGCAGGCACAAGCTCAGCTTTGGCGACCCTTTACACTCGAAAAACCTTTCACTGTGTGACTTGCAGGAGTTTCATCATCAAGAGCCTCAAGCTATCGATGGGCATCATGAAACGTGGACAGTGCACCATGTATGGGAGGATGGAAGCCAGGAGGGAGATGATGAAGGAACATGGTCCGAGTCAGACGAAGGAGGTGAAGTTGAAGGAGATGACTCAATGGATCTGGGAAGTGATGGCATTGGAGATGATTTCCAGGAGGTTGAGCGACCAGACACAGGCGGCTTCGAATTTGACTCCACTCCATATGATGACCGTGTTATGGCATCGCAAGCTTGCTTTCACACTGGTCGTAGCTTCTCACTGCGCGAGCCTCAACTCCAAAATGCCTCATCAATGAATTGGGGCTTCGGCTTCGGTAAGTCACGGCAAGTCCTGCACAGCAGTGTGCTCCTTGGAGCCGTGCATTGACTTGTTTGAACAAGGTTGGATGCTCCAGAACATACTCCCTCAAGTGTCAAAGACCGCACTGCTTGCAAGGCAACGGCTTCTGTTTTTGATGCTATGTTCAATCATGTAAAGTTAAAGACAAGGTACGCCTCAGCATTCCCCCTATGATAGGAGGGTTTGTATGGACTTGTAGCTGAGCTTCCTGGATTTCCCTGTCACCAGGCGCAGTGTGCAAAAGTGCACACAGCTGCTCATTTTGTTTTCCACGTGTTGCTGGCGGCTTTGAGACACTTGCCAGACGGATCATGACAGAATAGCTGATAGCGGAGTATTGCGGTTTGGGCCAACTTGCAAACCAGCTACGCTACTCGCACTCGAATTTTACGTTGCTTTGGCCGGTATATTGGATCTCATTGAAATTTGACAACGCCCGCCTTTGGCGGGAACGATCAATGAGTGAAGATGTCTTTGTCAATCCCCTCACTCCACGCCCAGCTTTTGCTCTGTATGAGTGCAGTTGTGAGTGCCTCTTCTTGTGGAAGCCAGGAGCCGACGAAGCTGTGCCATTGTCCGCCCAAAGGGGTGATCAAGACGGAGGCCATACTGCCAAAGAGAAGCTGTGTTGTTCCTGTGTCCGGTCAGAGCAAGTAGATAATTGCGGAGTGGGGAATCTGAGCTGCATGAAGTGGATGTATAGATATAGAGATAGATAATACACATATAGATAGATAATACACACACACATATATATATATATATGTTTCTTTTTTCCCCCCCAGATAGGGAAGCTATGGGGTTCTTACTTCAAATAACAATGAGTTACCCGTGCGCGCTTTCGAGACAGGTTGCTGGTGCTGGGTGCCGGTGCTGGTGCTGGTGCTGTGAGCTGGCTGTGCCTGCGGGCTGTACTGTTTGAGAGAAAACTTTTCTACGTGTAATGTTCTATGCGCAACTCTCAACCGACCATTGTTCCAGCATGTTTCAGCATGCTACACACATACAATAGTCTTGCTGGATACTGCTTGGCCTTGGGCGAGTGAAGCCTACGGGCTTTGCCGTTTGTGCGCATACTTTTGTGCGCAAGGTCATACGGCCTTATCGTCCTGCAGATCGTTGCTTCAAGCATGCTACAGGGTCAATAGTGGCACTGGATACTGCTTGGCCTTGGGCCAATGACACTTACGGGCTTTGCTGTTTGCACGCATACTTGTGTGTGCATAAACATATATGCACAAGATCATACGCTGTTATTCCCCAAATAGGGATAGCTATGGGGTTCTTGCTGCAAATAAGAATGAGCTGGCTGCGCTTTCGAAAGGGTGTCGGTGCTGGTGCTGGTGTTGTGGTCCTGGGTGCTGGTGCTGTGAGCTGGCTGAGCGCGCGTTTAAGACGGGGAGGTGCCATAAGCTGGCTGTGCAGGCTGCGTGCATTCTTGCTCCAGCCAGTCGCGTGTCAACAGGTCGTCGAATTCTGCGTAGCTATCTGGGTCTATGCTGGTGTAACTTTTTTCACATATACACATACATACATACATACAGACAGACGGACGGACGGACGGACGGACAGACCGACGGACGGACGGACGGACAGACATACATACATATATATATATATAAAATAAATGCATGCACATGCACATGCACATGCACATGCGCATGCAAACAAACTTCAGTGGTCTGGTCAGCATGCATGTAATTGTCTAAACATTGCCATGGGTGAAATGATTCTTTCTCAGGTTTGCTTGGGTCAAGTTTGCGTTGGCCCCCGAATCCTTGTGATGGCTTTTGAGCTGCTTGCCACCTAAGGTGGGCCCAGAGTTCATTGGCGGAGATGTGGGTTGTAGCGGCTCCAACATCATGAAGAAGCAGCCGTCTGAGTAGACAGCAGTCATGCCTTTAAATTGAATTTGCTAAAGGATTGTTTTGCCCGCTAAGTCTTTGGGGTATCCAAGTAAGTTCAAGGTGTTGCAAGGGTATGGCAGCATTGTAGCCCAATTATCTCAAGAGTGTCACCTTTATGGTGGTATCCTGCCTAGCAGATGTAGAGGAGCACCAGTTTTTTGTGTGTCCGAGCAGTCTAAGCATGCTTCACACGCATGCCGGGCAGTTCGATGGAACATGGCGAAATGAAGATGTCCGCTTGAGGAACAGTATGGACCTTCCCAAGCTGGGTGGAGGCTTTGGGACCACTGTCGGGAGCCAACAAGCAGACCAAGAACATTAGCGTTGTGGAGGTCCTCACTATGAGGGCACAAAGATACGCAAAGATACGAACATCTTGTAATTCTGAGGGTGTGGCCAGTGGCTTGATGGTGGGGCCCCAAGAAGCACAGGAGCAGCTGCGGCCAGTGTTGTCTACTCCTCTATTGCAGGTCCTGGTCAGCTGCGGCATCCTTGGAGCTGTCCTGTGCTCAGTCCTCACTAAGCGATGATGCCACCCCGAGCAGGCGACACCGTCGAGAAATGCCGATCGAACGTGCGCTCGTAACTCGCATGGCTTTTCAGGTAAACGTGAACAAGCCATGGTAACATGAACATGTCACAACATGTCCATGTAGAGGTGCTTGGCTTAGCCTCTGGCCACCTCAATGCCATTTGGAAACAGGAAACAGCAGGTGCACAAGAAGGTCTCCCTTCTCCATTCACCACTCGTGAGTCCGCCTGTATTGGTCCAGGGGCAACTCACAACCGCCAAGGGCCTAGACCCCTGCTTGGAATTAGTTATGACAAGCAAATGGACTTGAAAGATCGGACTGCTTTGTTATGGCAGTTTGCACACTCGGAAGCTGCCAAATGCGAAGAAGTCTAGGTGAAAAATAGCGTGAGTATACAAACCAGGGGTAATCTGCAGCGGTGCGTGACCGTCCAGGCGAAGGAGTTTCCAACGCTCAAGTTCACAAGGTTTCCAACGCTCAAGTCTCCAATGTCCACATGCACTCCAAGTGCAAAACCGATGCAAGGGCTGCCGGATTTGGCCTAATCACAAGCAGAGACCAAAAGCTTGAGATCCTCCAGCTGCCACTCATAGACCCAGGAGGATCAGCGCAGGTACGTGTCCACGACGACATAAATGGGTCTTGCCATCTATGCGGCCACGAGCCATTTGTGAATCGAAAGGTGCGCCTTGTGAATCGAAAGGTTACATACCCAATTACGCACACACACACACACATACAACTACCTCGTGATCTGCAGACGTTTGTTCTGTGATCGCAGGGGGGCTACATCCCGCTCACCTTTGTTCCACATTTGCCATAGTTACCATCAGTCCCACTTCCGTCTACTCTTCCCTGTTTGTGTGAGACCGCATGCACCCAACCCCACATGCAGTGGAGGACAGTGAGTTGTCCGCCTGCATTCCATTTTGTTGGTTTTCGGCGGAAAGTGCTGTACTTGCTTTCCTAGTGTTCTCTTGCTCGTGCTCTTGCTTGCCTGCTTCCTTTTATCTTTATTTCTGGTTACTCCCCCGCCTTTTCTAATACTTCCTTGCAGGATTGGAATTCAGAATTAGTTAGAAAAAGCTCACCAAAATCACGCCACCATCAGGCACCACATAGGCATAGCCTCGTAGCGTTTAGTTTCGATACATGTCTTGCTGCTCTGCGATGGAGTGCCAGTCGATACGCTCCTTCAGGTCGTCGCCCTGGCCCTTCGGCGTGGGCATGGGAGCGTTGGAAAGACCAGGCCCACCAGTGAAACCTGAAGACCCCCAGTAGAGAGAATTGGCTTGTCAGTATTAGCAGCACCAACTCTGTGCAATTGACACTTGCGATTCTGCAGGTTAGCCGCTTCAGGCGTGGGTTTGAAAAGTCAGTGCAGCACAAAGCTGCACAGCTTGAACCACACAAACTGTTGTGTGTTTAGGTCAGGACACTCCCCCAGGACAACAAGGCTTCCGCGGCTTGCCCTGTTGCAGGCCCTGACTCACGGCCTTTGGTGTGTGAAGAGAACGAAGAGGAAACCTGCGATGTATAAAGCAAGATGCCTGAGCGAGATGTCGTTCCGAATCCACTCCGCGCTGGAAGAATCAGCAGGCACCTTGACCTGAAGACTTTCAATGGTGTTGTGTTTATCCACATGCAACTCCTGCTGTCTCAATGCCCATTGTGGCTGGTGGTGCATGTCTCAAGACAGAACAAGGTGTTGAGCTGTTTCTCCTGGTGCTTTTGCTTAGCAATGTCAATACAAAATGCACAATGAGCGCAAGTAGCGTCGATGCCGGTGTTTAGTGCGTTGTGAAGCCTGAATCCTTCGAAGAAGATCTGGCCCCATCAGCTGCAACTTCCTTCTCTGCATGGCCTCCAGGTGGGATCAGAATCACTTGACTGGACATCCTGCTTGATTTGAAAGAGAAGGCATGCAAAGTGGGTGGAATGATGACAGTGATCCCAAAAGGGCCATGCGTGCAAATTAGTTGTCCCAGCTGGGAAATGTCTCACTCTGGCATCGGCTCTGCCAAAAAGAGGCCCCAACCCTGCAGCCCCATGTTAGCATGGCCTGTTCGGGAAAGCATTCTTAAACCATTCTTGCGCATACGCCGCCGCTGTGGGCACATTGTGGTGCCTGCATTGCCGCTTTGGGCTCGCAGAACCTGTAGCGCGATCAACGTTGCAGTGTCCACCTCGGATGTCGCCCAGTCAAGCGACCTTTCCTTTGGCGGCATCTTGTGTCATGTCGTGGCCGTGACGCCCAGGTGTCTTGTGTCATAGCAGCTGCTGATGGATGCCCGACGACTGGCTCTTGCTCTTGCTTGTTTAGGGGTGCGCGACCGAATTGAGACATGTCCAGATAATTTTGGTTACAAACTCTGTGCATGTTTAGGCGGCATATGCCTCGCAGCAGCCCAGGGGTGTTGACTTTGTTGCAGCTGTTTAGTTGCCTTTGCAGCCAACGGTCACACATTTGAAGAATCCGAAAGCCTAAATGCCAAGCAACTGAGGGAAGAACTTGAGGAATGTCAGAACGTGGGTGGAAAATCCAAGTGTAAGCCCGGCAAAGTTTGATTCAGTTGAGAATTTCTGGTACATTAGACGGTTAAGGGTAAGCCTCTCCCAACAGATGTGGGAACAAAACACGGTCTGTAGTTGCACTTAGTTTGGAGTTTAAGCGCGGCACAGAGACTCCAGTGTGAAAAGCGACTCCTGGGTTGAGAGGTGCTGCCGAAGTCTTGGAAGCCATGCTTGAGGGGTTTGTGCAAACCTTAGCGACTCAGCGCTGTGGAGACCACCAAACACTTTGAGCTTTCCAGGCAATTTTCCTGAGTGGATTCATGTGTCTTCTCAATTATGTATGACGTCCTCATTTACCCTATGCCTATGCATGTTCATGTTTCGGCATGCATGTTTCCTCCAACCTAGTGCATATCAGGCTCAGAATCCCAAGAAGTTTGTGGGCCTGACTGTGCACTCGACATACTCAGAGTTTCAGGCCCTGCTAGCTTGTCGCTTCTTGACCAAGGCAGTCGTGTGGCAAATAATCCTTGATTGAGAGACTTTGATGCTGAAACAGGCTTACTTCCACAACGCTGGAATGCATGATTGTCCCCGACCTTGCCTCCCACACGTCCCTTGCTAAGTTCACACGGTCATGTGACGCCACTTCAAGTCACCCCTATGAGACAAACATAGTCGTTAAGCATGTCATAAGCCTTGAAGTCTTGAAAGACGCTAGCATATTTGGAGAAAGCCAGGATTGGAGCCTTGGCTTTGGTACGTCATGCTTGATCCAAGCACCTTGTCCATTGAAGTTTTAACTAGAGCCATTGCTGCTGGCCAAGGAGGAGCCTTGTGTCAAGTTTGGCCCCAACTACCCAGGCAGCTTGACAGAAGCCTGTAGGAAGAATGCCATATGTCTTCCCGTATCACTCTTTTTGTTGTATGCACTGTTGTAAATGTCCAGATCAATTGGAGCGTGAAATAGCTTGAAAGTCACCCAGTGGGAAAGTGGGGGTTTAGTGATGCGAGAGAAAGAGGAAGTGATGAATGCGATACGATTGCCTCGTGTGCGAGTTGTGAAACTGTTGTGCCCCGTCAGCTTTCAGGAATGGCAGATGTCGTGTGGGCTCGAAACGATGGGATGGTCCAGTGCTGAGAGTTGGATACCCTTGCAGCCTGCAGCGGCAGGCTCTAGATTTTCCTGGTGCAGGTGAACCACCCAGAGTGGTATCCCGAACTGTCCTCGAAGTCTTCCAACAAAGAAATAGCAAAAGCACTCTACATGTCTGAGCCTCGCTCTCCCGTGTTTCGACTTGCAATGTTTCCACACGGGAGCTGAACGATGTTTGCCTCAGAGCTGAATGTGACCCATGCGTCAGGCATGGCGTGAAGAAGTGCAAGCGCATTTGTGAGGATGTGGAGCATCGGTAAAGCATCACTCCATCCGTCCATTGATCCAAACTGAAACTAGGGCCTAAGGGCATGAGCCATTCAACATCAATGTATAGGACGATGAGGAGGAGGGTCACTTTGAGCCCATAAAAAAGGCGCGCTTTGCAAGCAGCTGCAGAGTTACTTTTTCATATACTTTGCTAGAAATGGCAATGCATACTTCTTATCTTTTTGAACCTTGCCTGCTTCACCTTCCAGTCCAGAATTTGTGTGTTCCACTGAGGGTCCCTCGCTTGAGGGATGGATGACCACAACCACAGTCAAGGGTCAAAAGCTTTATCCGCCACACAGCTGCACAAGAAATGTAGTAAATGCGCGGGAAGGACTTTGCAACCAACGAAGAGCTTTTGGGAGCGCAGATTTGAATTGAAGACTGCCTGAGGTCAACACCAACAGCAGCTCCAACCACAGCCCCAAGTGTGGCAACGACTGTCGCACCAACTGTTGCACCAACTGCAGCACCAACCGTACCACTGGTGGTCCTGCCGACCCCACCAACAGCAGCACCGACGGTGGCACCGACAGAAGCCCCGACCGTGGCAGTTACCACGCCACCAACTGCAGCACCCACACTGGCACCCGCCACTACCACACCAAAAGCACTGACAGCTGCACCGACCATGGCGCCTACAACAACGATCAACCCGGTGATCGAGGACACATCAGGGAGGGTTGGTTGTCTGTGAATTTCAATCGGACCATATCATACATGTTCTTTGTAGTTTGGTCTGAGAGGGGCACAGCAGTTGAAGGGTCATGAGTTGGTCACGAGACACAAGACTTCAAGAACATTGACAGAAGGCATGGAAAGGATTGAGGCCAGCAATATACTGTGTATGTATATATATATATATATACTTATGATTGATGAACATCAGCAATTACCCAAGGGGAAACACCAGGCTGGGATTGATACATGAAGTGGACCAACAGGACCATCTCTGGGTTTCAGTGCTCTGCACGAGTGTTCAAATTTCTACTGCAAATTGAATAACTATTTTTTTAATGTTGATATACATTCAGAGTTGCACGCGAGCGTGCGCGCGAGAGAGAAAGAGAGAGAGAGGGAGAGAGGGAGGGAGGGAGGGAGGGAGGGAGAGAGAGAGAGAGAGACAGAGAGAGACAGTTGGCTCAAGTTTGGGCTCAAGTTGAAGGTGGCTCAAACCGGTTCTGACCCGCACTGACGTGATCGTGGGCACTGGCACTACCTCCCAGCCTTTATCCCAGTCCTTTTGAATTTGAAGGGTGACTGTGCTGATGGGACCACAAGGATGGGACGGCTTCAATAAGGTGCGCTCGAGACGATCCTACTATGTCTGTGGTGGGCGCACAGGGTCGTGGATATGGGCTGACCGGGTCTCCAACACCAGATGGTGCTGTGACCACTGTGGCTCATCCTGGCCAAGTGCAATGGCCAAGGACACTACGCCAAAGCATGGGTCCCCAAGACCACGTAGAACCAGACCACGACGAGTTGAAGCCCCGCCAGGACTGGGAGGCAGAGACAAAAAGCCGGTGAGGAACCCAGTAGATGATTTGTTGAAGAAAAGTTGGACCAGCCTGAATGATGATGTCAAGAAGGCCCTGCAGTCGGTCGGCATCGACTACACCCCTGAACCAGAACTACAGCCTGTGGAAGTGATCCTGCAAGCCCATCTTGAGGCCCTTCCTAAAGAAGTCAAAGAAGCGGTTGAGAGTGTGGTCACGCCAGTCAAGCAAGAGCCCAAGGATGTGACCACGAAGCTCAAGGCCACGGTGGGTGAGCTCAGGCAGCTTTCCAATAAGAAGGCTGGTCTCCAGAAGGGGGTGGACAATGCCAAGGACCAGTACAAGATCCTGCTTGAGGAATTGAAGACGGTGCAGGAACAGATCGACAAGGAGCAACAACAATTGACTGCACAATCCGAGGCATATGCCAAGATCCTGAAAGAGGAGAATGCGGAAGACACCAGCACCGAGACGGTGGAAGTAGATGGTGACATGAATGATCATGTGCACAAAGCTTTGGCACAAGTTGGTATCTTGTATACAGATACCCAAAAGACAGATTTGGAGCGGCACCTGGCTGAGAACAAGCTCAAGCGCCGCAAGAAATCTGAAGTCCCTTCCTTGGGGTAACCCTGAGTGGGGATGGTTGAGGGGATGTGCAGTTGAGACGAAAAGGACTGGAGCCATGCAGCAAGTTGAACAGGGGTCTTTGCTACATGCACAGCCAGCAGCAGGGGTTGAAGAAGCAAACCATTGGGAGTGTTTGCAAGTGTGGCATGCTTGGGACGACATGCAAGCTTCATGGGGAGATGAACGACATGTGAATGCATGGTGTCATTTTGGAGAGTCATGCATGGGTGACGCCTGTTTTCAAGGATGGCAGCCGTATGTGAGCAAGGAAGAGCAATTTGATATCCCTTTCATTGCGCATGAATCAGGCAGCCACGACATCCAGCTTGGGGTTGACAGGCAAATCTCCCATGTGTTTGAGTCTGCTTGTAGCATTCGTGGGGGTTACATGGGTGCTGACGGGAAGCCATGGACACAATTTGGACCCTCAGGAACACCTGAGGAGAAGAGCACTAGTGAGCAAGCACCGAGCTCTAGCAGCTCCTTGAGACTGCTAGTAACGGGACTTGCTTCACTAGTGCTCTAGGTAGCAATTCGGATCAA